TTTTCTCAAACTCTACTTGATGCCCAGTCTTTGGCAGATGTCTATCCAGAGTTGAGTCTTCTCTTCCCTAGACCACACCCTTCCAAGAGATTAGGTACCAGGAATAAACAGAGGCCTGGGCTTCATGGTGACACCCAGACTCAAGACAAAAACAAGACAAATCGAAAACAAACAAACCCACTACCAAATAAATGCTAATTAAAAATGAATAGAAATAAAAATTGTAAATTAAAATGGCTCAGGACTATAGCTCAATAGTAAGCACCTATGCCAGGCCCTAGATTTAATCCCCAGTACTGTAAAAGATAAAGAAGAGGAAGAGGAGAAAAACCCACAAATCCATCTGGATTAGATAAAAGCAAATATGAGCTGGGGATGGTGCCCAATCCCTTTAATCCCAGCACCGGGGAACTAGGGGGCTGCCAGATCTCTGTGAGTTCAAAGCAAGCCTGGACTACAAAGTGAGTTCCAGGGCTTTGAAGTGAGGGAGGGTCCTTCCTGTGTACGGGATTTCAGAGACCTGTGGATCTATGGATACAGATTACTTTGTCATCAGCGATCTCCTCATTCTACCTTCAAAAAATATTTGTATTATTTATCTTTATTCATGTGTGTGACTATGTGTGTGTGTGCTGTGTTTGCTGAGGCCAGAAAAGGGTGTCAGATCCCCTGGAGCTGGAGTTACCAGGAACATGGATGCTGGAATTCAAATTCAGGTCCTCTGGAAAAGCAGTACTTGACTTGGGCTACTGAGGCATCTCTCTGGCTCCCCAACCCCTTTTAAAGGCAGGACCTTGTGTATAGCAGAGGATTTCAAACTCACTGTGTATTGAAAGATGAGCTGGATACTAAGACTATTGGCATGCACCACCATGTCCAGTTTACATCATGCTATGGCTTTAACTTGGGGCTTTGTGCTTGCTAGGCAAGCAATTGACAAACTGAGCCATATCCCCAATCTGTGTCCTTGTTTTCCTGGATACCTTACCCCTTGTGGTGGCAAATGACACGCTATACCTCGAAGTTCACAGACTACCATCTTAGCTGCTCAGGAGTTTGCCAACTCCTTGCCAACAGTCCTATGTGCTTCAGTGCCACAGCCTCAGCGCCCAAGATGGAATGTACAGTTTCAACAAAAGTCCCATGATTGGCCGGGCGGTGGTGGCACATGCCTTTAATCCCAGCACTTGGGAGGCAGAGGCAGGCGGATTTCTGAGTTTGAGGCCAGCCTGGTCTACAGAGTGAGTTCCAGGACAGCCAGGACTATACAGAGAAACCCTGTCTCGAAAAAACAAAACAAAACAAAACAGTCCCATGATTGGCTCATTGTCCTGGAGTGACTCCTGTGCCCATCTTCAACCCAGTGAATGCAACCTACCTTACTCTTGACACATGATGGGATCAGCTCCTTCCCCTTCCCGTCCCCCAGATAGACTGAAATGGCTCCAATTATCAGGAGGGGAGGACTGTACATAGAAACAAGGACCTTTTCATGCTCAAGATGCAGAGTGTATTCTAGCTGTCCCCAGCATAGATGTACATTGACAGTGTGGTTCCAGATGTGCGGAACTCTTGAAGCTGTGCTCATTGAATGACTCCCATTAGCAGAGGATGGGAAAGGGCTTATCTCCGGGATGCTGGGCTCCTTGAAGCTCCATCAGATGGGGGAACAATGTGGTCAAACAGGCCAAAAACAGGCCTGAGATCCTTCCAACCTATTCCTCTTTCTAGCCTGCTCAGAAACCTCTCATCCATGATCCCACTCATTCAATGTTTGTTCAGGTTGGGGGTGGAGGGAATGCATGGAGAGACTGGCAGGCCTTGGCAGAGGGCCAGGTCACCTCAGCAAGCACCTTATGCCCCGAAGAGCATACTGTGTGTCTGGGAGTAGGGTTGGGGCGTGGTTGGGTCTCAGGCCTCTGGTTCACGCTACCCACTAATTTCCAAGCCACTGTCGCTCTCACGTTTGTACCTCCCTACCCTACATCTGCTGCAACAGAGGCAGGTAAGCAATAGTACTCTCAGCAAGGGAACCAACTACATGTTTTCCAAACATTTTATTAAGAATAAGGCATATGACAGTCACCCCTAAAGCACAGGGCTCTACTTCTGTAGGTGAGTGAATACACTCTGAAAAGCATTGGATTAAAAAGCGCAGCCAACAGAGAATTTGAGCAGGATCTGACTGCCCTGCATGTCTCCCATTCAAGGCTGGCACATCAGTGTGAAAGGGTGCTTAGGAGACCCTGGCCCCTAAAGGAGGATGCTTCACACCCTCTGGCCTCTTTCCCTTCCACCTCCATCCAGGATGACTATCCTGCTGCTCGTATAGGGATGAGCTACCTCATATTGGCCCAGAACTGGTCCCTCAAAGAACAGGTTGCCTTGGCAAGGATACGGTGGTGAAGGGTGCAGAACCTTGGACTCCATCACTCACTCGTTCCTGGATGGCTTCTAGAATGTAGAACTCCACTGCTGCTCTTCCTTCTGGGTCTGTCTACACTTGCACAGTGGGACTCTCCACTAAGGACTGAGTGTCCACATGAGCTGTCTCAGTCTCTTGATGGGGATATGTACAACAAAGAAGAGAAATGAAATGGCCCTTTCCTTTCTTGGCCACTGGGTCATTCCTGGGCTGTGGCTGGTACTTTTCCTTCCATCAGGTGGATTCCTATAGCCTGGTCCAGGAAGGAAAGAAGTGGAAGCTAAGGGTAGGGCCTGTCCCAGAGCGGGAGCCTGAGGGAGTCCTTGCCTGTTGACCAATGAAGGGGAGACTTTCATTACTTCCACAAGAAGGGAAGGGTATTCTGTAACACCATAATCCTGTATCTGCCTAGGCCTTCCTATCACTGTCTCACTGATGGAAGAGTTGCGTTATCCACCTCCCATCCCAAGATCTCGACTGGTACCTAGATGCCTTTAGACCCTTTCATCTGGAAGCTCTTCAAACACCTCACAAACGATATCATTATCTCCGCTCTCAGCAGAGGAACAGGATTTGGGAGGTGCTGACAGGGTCATTTGAGGAAAGGCAGGCAGGTTATTGTCTGATCCTGGGGATGGGGTTTGATAGAGCCAGCTGAACAACCTGGGTGCCCAGAAGAGAAAAGGAAGAGGGCTATAGTTTAAAGGGGAGCTAGCTGGGGGTAGTTATGGCTTTTAGTGGGTAGATGGATGAGAAAGAGCTCTCTCTAGAAAACTCAACCTAACTAAGTCACCCTGGTCACCCCAAAAGGATGGTTGCAAGAGATGTAGGTCTGTGCAGGTGACCCAAGAAAGCAGCTTTCCTCTCCCACTGTCCTTCAGGCACCTCTAAGGGAGTACAGCAAGTCCCTCACACTGGCAGGTTCCCGATGGACAGGGTAGCAGTGACATGTGGGACAGGTATTGCCACTGGACTGAAGGAGTAGATGTTGGGGTCCTAGTGGGGACCCAGGATTCTACTTCTGCCATCCAGCTCCCAGAAGCTAGACAGCTCAGCCCAGGCCTAGCTAATGGTCAGTGGCCTCAGCTGCCCTGCAGGAAAGGGGTCTGTGTGCAGGATCAGGTTAGAATGTGCTCACTGCTTTTGCTTCCTGCCAAATCCTTGCTTCCTCTAACAAAGTGGAGGACGTGAGCCAGGAATTCTTTTTCTTCCTGGTGGCCATGACTGAAGACGTTTGTCAACTACAGAGACAGACTGCTCACCTCAAGACCTTGGGTGACACACACAATGTGGTACCTTAGCCAGGGCCTAGGACCTTGGGTGACACACACAATGTGGTACCTTAGCCAGGGCCTAGGATCTGCTAGGGGCCCAGTATCTGAGAGAAGAGAGGTATCTTTTCTCAGCAGCTCCAGGAAAGACCTCACAGGCACTTAGGACTCAAAGCAGGTCAAACCAAGAGTGGTGGAGCTGGGCTCTGGGGCTCTGATATGGGGCCTGATCATGGGCTGGGCAGAAGCTTCCTGCCTTTGGTATTGAGGGGAATTGGGAAGGTGTCATCATCCTTTTCTGTTTATCACTCTCAAAAGCACAGGACCACCCCATTATCAGCAGGTTCTACAGGCCTAGAGGCCTTTCCAGGGATGGACGCCACCAATGACTAACCAGTCTTTACTTTCCTCCCCAGGAAAATGAAGTTTCTATGGATAGCTGCCACTTCCAAGAAGTGAGGCTCTCCTCCCTGCCTTTGGGTGCAGCCAGCTGTTTGGAAAGCTGGGCAAGATTAGCACCTATAACAAACAGGACTGGGAAGTCTCTAAAGTGGCCTCAGGAACAGCCGGGTGAGAGGCCCGTCTGCCCTTGCCAAGTCAAATCTGAGCCCCAGCTTGCCTATCTCCAATCTCCTGAACCCCTGCATGACAAACCTGGGAAGAACCAATCAGTTCCTTTTCCACGACTGGCTTCAAGAGTCTAGCCTGTTTTCTATAAGTCAACTGCCACTAGGAACACAGCGGCTCTGAGAGGATGTGACTTCTAAAATAGATTCCAAAGTGTTCCGTGCTCACCTTCAAAGACTTATCAGTGGGGTGGGGAGTAGCTACTTCCGAGTACACGAGCCAGCTCCTAAGCTTGCCTCTCCCGAGCAAAAGGCTGGGCAGGGCTGGACTGGAGGTGGGGGGGAATAGGAGGGGAAAGAAAGCAGGGAAGGGGAGCTTGAGGGCCTAGCAGTGCCAAGAGCCACCCTGTTCCTTCCTGTAGGCAGACCTAGCCTTCTCCCGCCCTACAAGGGATTGTCAGCTTTCCAGAGACATACAAGACTCTACTCCTCCCACCCGCCAGGGGCTGGGGTGGAGGGGAGACACAGATTAGGGTCATTACTACCAGTTCACCACAAAAAAGGTGCATTGCTTTGGCGTTCCCTCTGCAAAGGAGCTCCCTCTCCGGAGAAGACACACAAGCGGGGGCGGCACTAGCGAGTGGCGGAGCTGGGGCGGATCTGCCGGCTGGACTCCGCCCCATCCCGGATCCCGCCTGGCCCCGCCTGCATTCCCTGTTGCCACCGCTAACCCTTCGCCTACTCAGGATCCCCTGGGGCGCTGGGCGTGGCGGCTGGGCTCTTGCTGAGCCCCGGATGCGGGCCGCCTTGGTACTGGGCCTCGTGGTGTGGCACGGGATGCGGGGCATCTTGGTCCGGCAGCTCCTGGCGTAGCAGAGGGCGAGGGCCACGGGCGCTGGGCCGCGGCGGCCTCCGTGGGTAGAGAAAGAGCGCGGGGTCCGGCATGGGATCAGCGTCTTCCCAGGTCGCCCAGTCCCGGCCCGGACCCTTGGCGGACGCCTCGGGAGGGCGGCGGGCCCGTTGTGCACGCCGGCGGGCCCGGGGCTCGGCGGCTGCGGCGCCGGAGCGGGGAGCCTGCAGTCTCTGGCGCGCGGCGTGCAGCTGGCAGGAGAGGTAGGCGGCCGCCTCGGTGTGCTTCTGCAGCTCGGTGCCCAGCACCGTGGCGCGGTGGCTGCGGCGCCGCAGCTCCTCCAGAAAGCGGCGCTCCTCGGAGCGCAGGCTGCAGCGCAGCGCAGACACCAGCGCCTCCCGCTGCGCCACCTCCCGCCGCAGCTCCGCGTTGGCCGCCGCCCGTGCCTCCAGCTGCGACTCTAGCGCGCGGCACTTGTCCTCCAGCTCTCGGGACGCCTCCTCTGTGGAGAAGGGAAAATAAAGTGATGGTACCCCCGGAGGCGTGAAACATATCCTAGCTGGCCCAGAAGCCACTCTTGCTCTTCTGCCTAAAATTCAGCCACAGGGACTTTACCCATGTTCTACTCTCTGCGTTTAATTGTTCACTTTAAACGCAAAACCCTTCCTGACTGATCGTTAATTTGTAAGCAGTCTGTTGAGCCTTGATTCTCCGCGCCCTGTGTTGAGTCCATGTTTTCATGAAGCATACAGCGCCGCGTAGTAAATAATCATAAACAAATGTCAGGTTGCCAGTGTGACATGTGTCAGAAAGACAAATTAATATTCTGATTCTAAGGGGGATGTGATGCCATCAGGGAAGGCTTCGGAGCAGGAGAGGCTTGAGAGCTAGGACGAACAGATCTTCCCCTGGAGAAGGGTACTCCTGGAGGGGGAGCGGCTTGTGCAAAAGCCCTGTGATCTGAGAACATGGCAACAGCAGGGGCTGGCTGTGGGAGTGATCAGGAGATGGTGGGTAGCTGGTGTCCCTTACTCCACAGAGCACATATGTCGTTTCGTGAGTTCTTTTTGCTGACCAGTCTAACCCAGAACCTCTGGTACTGGTCCTAGAAATGGCACTGCTGAGGTATCCCTAGGTGACCATGCAGAACCAGAGCTGAGGACCCCTCCCCTTCTGGACCCACTCCCCATCTATACCCTGGGATTTCAGAGGCAAAGGGGAATATGTTCTTTATAGAGCAGTGACTTGAGCTCTGGTGACCCCAAAAACCTTTCCAGAGGAAAGCTAGTAGTTGTGAAAGTGTCTTTAGTCATGTACCTCCCTGTCTAGTGTCAGGGGTTAGTGAGTGGCCCTTCCTTCAAGCACAGAGGCACCAAGAAGTGTCCATGAGTGCTGTATGAAGAAGTGGACAGAATCAGTTCAAGTCTAAGAGTTCCCATGAACCCTAGTTTATCTTCAGCTGCATGAAGGAATCTATAGGACTTACAACTGTTTAGCTTAGAAATTCCCAGCCTTCTTTGCTCTTGATGTGTAAGAACTTTAACACATCTGTATGGCAGGGAGTCAGTTCTTGTTTTTCCTCCCTTCCTTCCTCCTTTCCTTCCTTCCTTCCTTCCTTTCCTTCCTTCTTCCCTCC